AAAAAGTAGCTATGTTGTACACTTGGCAAAGAAAGATCGGGTAGCTGTGGTGACGCGATACGCCGACTATGCATTTGGTTAGCGTTGGGTGGATTTGCTGTGGAGATAGTTACCTCGGCGTTACGCATGCGCTCGGAACTCTCTACAACATACTAATTCATGAAGACCCACCGTGACTTTTGAGATCGATCGTGATGCAATTTGCTGGGCTGTGGCGTTGACACTACAACGTGGTGTATATCATTGCAGTATTGACTCAATGCGGGGCCCACGATTCTTATCGCAACTAATTCTCTCATTATGGGATGTATTATTATGGCGTAGGAAATGCCGCTTGTCTGTTATTTAGGGGCGCAGCGGAGGTTTCAAGTTGTGAGAATGTCAACCGATCTTAGGGCTCGCTAATTTCACCTACAACATGGTTACTAATTTCGACTTGCCAAGGGGTTTCATACAACTCTTGGCCCCACTGAACACAGATTCAGGTCAATAGGGGCCAATAGTGCAATCCACTATCCAGCCTTAGCGCTCTCTGTGGCGAAAAATCCCCATCTATACAAGAGTGATTGGATCCAGCGCAAATATGAAATGATCATTCGACGATCGCTTCATGGCTTATCGAATTGGCATGCAATGACACGACAGACCGTAATGATATTGATAGTCGAAAAGCAGAAAGAAAGAAAGCACTAACCAAGAACAACCTGCATGTTGCATCGTTTGGGACTCTTGATCTGCGGAGACACATTAATATTACTACGGAGTACATACCCCTGGATTCTCCAAGGGCAATAGATAAATTCCCTATGACCTTTTTCCATTTCCGAATATGTGCGACCGAGGATTCTGTACGGGGTACAGAGGGCGGAGTATTTCCAAGAAGTTTGTTTTATCCCACAGCATCCCTTACGCAGTTACATCCCTGTTGTCATGATCGCCATGTATGATTAGCTCATTTATCTTGAATAACTGTGGCTGTGGCTGGGGTTCTGTGGCGGACATCTCCGGTCCGAGGCTGGAAAAATTCAATCTCGGATTAAAAAAAGATTTTACGAGGTGCTTGGATCAAAGAATGGGTCATTGATTACGACGAGGGTCTCGACCATTGAGCGAAAAGTCTGGATTGCCCACTTGCCACCCATGCATTGACTGTCGCTAGATGTGAGATTAGGTTCGTTTGCTGGGAAAAAAACCAAGAAAAATCACGATTGAAAACACAAAATAGGAAAGTAGCCCAAATAACAAAAAACATAATCAAAGATTGTCCAATTACGTAGCCAGATCGCAGATCCTAGTCCTTCCCCTCCCTGCTGGCCATGGATCCCTGCTAAACTTTAAGCTTCTCTCGTTCTTTTCCCTCCTATCTTTCATTTTTCTTTCACACTTGGGGAAACCTTCCTCCCCTCGACACTTCACACCCGTGGATTCAAAGAGTGTTTTGGACATTTTGAATATACCTTTGCGAATACCTTCACAATGGCCCACGATGCCGTGCACTGGCTGGCCGCCAGGGATACGGTAAGCTCTGTCGAACACCTAGGTAGCCGGTCCTTTACTCACGATACTAGAGCGACGACCCGCAGGACACCACGCCGACACTATCTGGCCTGCTCACCACCCTAATCCCTGCTCTTGTCTCCTTCGTTGTGATGGTGTTGCTCTTCATCATCCTGCGCAAGAGCAATCGCAGAATGTACATGCCGCGAACCTACATTGGATACCTCCGTCCCTGGCAGCGCACCCCCGATTCTCCAACCGGATCCTGGAACTGGATCAAGGCGATGTACCAGTTACCCGATACCTACGTCTTGCAGCATCACTCGATGGACGCCTACCTCATGCTTCGCTTCCTCAAACTGTGCTCCGTGATGTTGTTCGTGGGCTGCTGTATCACTTTCCCGATCTTGTGGCCCGTCAATGCCACAGGCGGTGGTGGAAAGATCCAACTGAACCTTCTGAGCATCTCAAATATCGACGAGACTCGATACGGTCGTTACTATGCGCATTGCTTCCTCGCCTGGATCTATGTCTCCTTCATCTTCTTCATGATAACTCGCGAGCACCTATTTTATATTAACCTCCGCCAGGCGTACCTGTTCTCACCCGCCAACGCGAGCCGCATCTCGTCTCGCACCGTTTTGTTCACGGCCGTTACCCAGGACCTGTTGAACAAGGAAAAGCTTCGCACCATGTTTGGCCGCGACAAGGTCAAGAATGTCTGGATTGCAACTGATACCAAGGAGCTCGAGGAGAAGGTCAAGGACCGCGATGCTGCTGCGATGAAGCTCGAGGGTGCGGAGACCAAGCTCATTGTGCTTGCTAATAAGACGCGCAGCAAGGCCCTTAAGAAGAAAGGCTCGGCCGAGAACCCCGAGACTGACATTGGCGATGGCCAGTTTGATGATGAGTCTGGCTCCGTCGCTGCTCGTTGGGTGGAGGCTAAAAAACGACCCACACACCGTCTCACGATGCTTATTGGCAAGAAGGTCGACACTATCAATTGGGCGCGTTCGGAAATCGAGCGTCTCTCTCCCGAAATCGAGGAGTTGCAGGCCCAGCACCGTGCTGGAGAAACCAAGCTGGTCTCCTCCGTTTTTGTCGAGTTCTACCATCAGTCTGATGCTCAGTCTTCCTTCCAGTCTGTGGCCCACAACCTCCCCCTGCACATGAGCCCTCGTTACATTGGTTTAGACCCTACTCAGGTTATCTGGTCCAACCTGCGCATCAAGTGGTGGGAACGCCTCGGTCGCTACGCTGCCACCATGGGTTTTGTCTGTGCTATGATCATCTTTTGGGCTATCCCTACTGCAGTTGTTGGTGCCATCTCCAACATTGACTCTTTGACCAAGATCGTTCCTTTCCTGAAGTTCATTGACAGCGTTCCATCATGGATTAAGGGTGTTATTACCGGTCTCTTGCCCACTGTCATGATGGCTGTCCTTCTGGCGCTGGTGCCCATCATCCTTCGTCTGATGGCTAAGTTCGGTGGTGCTCCTAGTCTACCAGCCGTTGAACTGACCGTCCAAAACTGGTTCTTCGCTTTCCAAGTCGTTCAGGTCTTCCTAGTGGTGACCGTTGCCTCATCGGCCACCAGTGTCGTCAGTAGTATCATTGACAATCCCTCCTCGGCCGCCTCGCTGCTAGCCCAGAAGATCCCCACCGCGTCCAACTTCTACATCTCATATATCATTCTACAAGGATTGTCTTTCAGCGCTGGTGCTCTTCTTCAGATTGTCGGCCTGATTCTTGGCAAGATCCTTGGCAGATTACTGGATAGCACCCCTCGCAAGATGTACACTCGTTGGTCAAGCTTGGCTGGTCTCGGATGGGGCACTGTCTATCCTGCATTCACATTGTTGACTGTTGTCGGTATGTTACACAAGTGATCGATTTATTTGTTTATGACACTAACTTTTCTCATAGCGATCGTCTACTCTTGCATTGCACCGCTTGTCATGGGCTTCGGTACCATTGGTCTATACCTCTTCTATTTCGCCTACCGGTACAACCTGTTGTACGTGTCGAACTCAACCATCGACACCCAGGGTAGATGCTACACCCGTGCTCTGCAGCAGCTCACTGTCGGCTGCTACCTGTCCATGGTTTGCCTGATTGGTCTGTTCGCCATTGGCACCGGTGCCAACACGATGGCTCTCGGTCCCCTGATCCTGATGATCATCTTCTTGATCTTCGTCATCCTATACCATCTCTCTATGAACAGCGCTATGGAGCCCCTACTAAACTTCCTGCCCAAGAACCTCGAGGCAGAGGAGGAGGGTCTGCTCGCCGCTGAGAAGGCCAACATCAGTACCCTGAACGAGAATTCCAAGACCGATGACAGGTCCGGTCCCGGTGGCTCCATCTCGGCCTCCCGTGACAGTGGCGTCGCCAACGTAGAAAACAGCCTCGGCAGCGTCGACTCCGCCGAGAAGGGTCTCACCGAGAAGTCGCCGCCAGCGCCCAAGCCGAACTTTTTGATCAAGTTCCTGCGTCCGGACCTGTACCATAACTACCACCAGCTGCGCAAGCTGGTTCCCAGCTCCTCAGAAATCCCTACTTACCCTGCCGAGATCGAGCGTGACGCCTACTGCCACCCGGCCGTCAGCTCGCACCCCCCTCTTCTCTGGATTCCCCGCGACCCCCTCGGAGTCAGCGCCCAAGAAGTCGCTCACACTTCTCGTGTCATTCCCATCACGGACGAGGATGCCTATCTCGATGAGAACTGCAAGATCCAATGGAACGAGGAGAAGGGCGAGCCCCCCATCTACGAGGAGAAGGTTACCTACTAAGCGCCCTCTCTACTTGCGCGATCTCGATCTAGTTCTCTATTCGAGTGTCTAGTCGATGCTCTGTCTCACCGGCCGGCGAATGCAACGTGTTCATATATCCCTTGTATACAGACATGCCATCGCCGACCTGGTTTATTCTGTGATACCCGGCCGGCTAGTCCACCTGACTGTCTGGCTATAACCCGGCCATTTTGTTATATTTGTCAATCTAAGATTGGTCTTGAGCTTATGTAACTCCCGGACCTTTCTTTTTTCTTTTCTATAATCTCTAAAGTAATCAATTTCCACTTCGCATGTCGATAATCTATGTTTTGAGAAGGTTAGCCATGGAATTGGAAATCTTGACCATCCTCCACGATTCTTTTTTTTGGATTATTTATTGCATGGTTTTTAGCTGGCCACTTTTGGTCATGGCTGCAAATGATAAGGTCGATTATCCATCTTTTTCTCTTGACTTCTGCGCAATCCCTTACTCTATGTCCAAGTATATATTTCTAGAGGGCCGTAAAAAGGAAAGCCGAGAGAGGATAGGAAAATCCAGAATTCTGCCAATCAATGACTGAACCTCAGAAATGAAGGAGAACACATGGATCTTACAAGGTATGGCTTATGTACCTAGAAGATCCACAAACCTTGGAAAGTGTATATTCTTCTTTATCTGCATGTCTACACACCGGAGTCATAGCAAACCAAAGTCTTCTATTTTGAGCAATGCGGTCATTGCGCGATCCGATAGCAGTTCGTCGAACTCTCCCAGTTCCTATCTCAGTTGTTTGGATGAAATGTGCTATGAGCTTTACCTTGTTGGGCTACAGCGTATGTCTTCGCGGCGCCTTTTGGTCACACCCATCGGTCCAGATCCAATGATACCGTTGGCTGGCTAAGTGGCCGGTGTGAGAAGGGGTTCTCACCCGATTCTCACCCTATTCTCACCCAGTTCTCACTCAGTTCTCACCTTGCTGGCCCCGTCGTTGCTGCTGCGATGCGGTCCGGTACCTCCGCTAGATGGGGCGGGCCACCGTCGGGCACCGATAATTGGTAGATTCGCAGCCCCTAAAACAGTTCAAGGCAGTTGCGGATGAGCTCGAAGCACAACAATGCCCGCAGAAGGCTCGGCTTGATGCCATAAAGCAGTGCACCACACTCGAAACAATGTCGTGCTCGCTGCCTCGCGGCGCTCGGTGTATGAGAGTATAGGGGCACCTGTCACCACCCCGTTCTGCAACGATGCTCTCTGGGTACATTGAAGAACTCTGACTGGATGGTTTAGAAACGCCAACCTTACAAACGAGGGAAGGACAATCGTCTGCGGCCGAATCGACGCGGGTATCGTATGGACCGAATGCCCAATCTAGCTCCTTACTAGATACAACTCTGGGAGTTCGTTCCGTGCCTTAGTCGGTGAAATCTCCTGTTTGTAAGAACAAGCCCATAGAATTGAGGCGGAGAACGATAGTACGGAAATTTCCGATTATACGTTCATATAGCGGACTCGGCGTGCGCGACTGTGGTTCGAACACCTGGAAAAGTTCAAGGTCTGTTTCGATCTGGGGTAAAGAGACGTTGCGGAATTTTATGAGCCCAGATATTGCGATGGTCGGGGGTATGCGCGTCGATATCATCTAGGGAGCGCGGGCGAAGTGTTCTTGCGTTGGGGGGCACGATAAGATCGTTCGACTCTCTTAGAAACGGCTGGTAAGATGCTTGGGATAGGAGTATAGCTGCAGTGGTCCTTAAGCCTCCTATCGTGCCTGCTGTATTTTGTGGTCTATGCGTTGTGAAGTTGATGTATGGACGCAGGTAGACGTTGTCGGTAGCTACAATGTAGTTAATTGATAACCTTGGGCATGTAACTATTGTTTAAGATTATAGAAGTATCTGACTGCGCATAAACCAGGCAAGATGGAAAAAGGAAGAATATAACATTCCTATCTAACTAGGTAGTAGTATAAGATATTTTAGATACCCTTTCAGGTATCTTTTCAAAGATCTTTTCAAATTGTCCCTTAAGATGCCTATAAATGTCTATTTAGAATAATCAGCGGCATACTGATGCACAATTCCTATAAAACGGCTTTTTCATACATGATACCAATATGATAGACACAGCCAGCACATCTTATGGAAAAGTCAAGACCTAGACTACCCGTTTTGATCGAAGCAATCATGATCCTGGTTTCATCGTCGGTTCAGGAATTCTTTAGATGAATCTCTCGTGACCTATTGGCCATTCAACCTTTCATCCGATGATGTGGAAGTTAAGCTTCGCTGGTTTTGCCTTGAAAACTTACCCAGTTGAGGTGTATCGGGGTCATCATAGATTCCATAAGTGCAGCCTCTTGATGGGCAATTTGCAACCACGGCACCATCGAGCGACCTCAGTGTTCTCGTCTTCGTCGCCGAGTGCGTCGAAACATTCTTCACAATAAGGTGTTGACAGTCCGTGATAATAGCCCGTCGCTTGACTCGTGGGGAAGAGGCGTGTTAGAATTTAAATGCCCCACAGGTGTATTACGTAGACACGTACGTACATCTATGATAGTCCATACTAGTGTAGAGCACAATTTAGTGAATTGCACTGTTCTAAAGTCAAGACATCGCTATCCTAACATATAGATACCATCTCACATGTTTATTTTTCTCCCATGTAGAAAAATAAGTCTTTCATCAAGATCAACAGATCCTGATTCTAAACCTGATTCCATCATGACAATGGAGAATAGTACCTCGACCATGAAGGAGCATAAGAAAAAGAGGCGGGATAACCACCCGCTAGAGCAAAAACCAAGGAAATCACAAATCAAAAAAAAAAAAACGTACCAAGAAGAGAAAAGACATGCAACACAAAACAGAAGGAGGCCATCAAGACATCACGTTAAAGGAACCAAAAAAATTCACACACATCGAGGTTGGATCCGAAGGGTATCAAGGGGAAGGGAAACACATTTTGCGACAGGACGAATGGCAAGAAATCGGACAAAAAAAGAACAAACAGACATCATGCATACGGACGAAAGATCACAGAAGGATCAAATAGTTCGAGGGCGCAATGCCTGTATCTCCATTTTGCTTCCGAGCCTGCCACCATCGGCCGCTCACATCAGATACTTCCAAGATCTCGTGCTTGGCGAAGCTGATTTCATTGGCGTCTTCCGGGTTGGCGTCATATGAGTAGATAGCCTTGGCGCGGTAGGGGTAGTCTGTTGGCTGAGGCACTTCGCCCACTTCTTGCTCGCCGTTACCGGGAGTCTGAGGGTTGGGGGTACCGAATCGAGGCGCAGAGGAGGTTCGTTCGGCGCCGGGCGCACCGCCAGGGTACCCGGAGACAGGGGACGAGGTCTCGAAGCCGCCGAGTTGGGCGGAGGTGTACATCTGCGGGGTATTGCTGGTTGCCATGGTATCTGGGCGGGCGCCGAATGCGCTGGACATGGGGCGACTACCGCGGTAGGAGGGCTCGGCGGGCTGTTCCTTGTTCAGGGCGAAGGAGTCGATGAAGCCGCGGTGAGTGGCCTGCGGTGTGGAGCCGAAGTAGAAGATCCAGACGATTATCATCATGGAAAGCAGGATGAAGCCTGCGCCAGCGGCTTGCATGGATGGTTGGTTTCCGTAGATCAGGTTGTTTGCGCTCGTAGATGTTAGGACGAGGCCACAGGCGAGGTAACCGACGATCTGGAGATATTGTCAGTACTGGAGGCTCGTGATATCTGTATTCAAGAGTCATCATACCGCCATGCCATAAACGTGGCCTGTGTCCGTGGCAAAGGTCGTGACGAGGCCCACAATAACACAGAACATGTATGAGATGGCCCACCATGAGTAGTTAGGATATTCGGTTTTCAAATCGGCGATGATAGATGCGATGAGAGCAATAAGCCATGCCAGCTAGAACTGTATGTTAGTCAATGTCGGGTCATAGAGAAAGTCGAACGAACAATTGAAATCGAGACGGTCATGAGCGCGAACGGATCGCCTAGGATGTTGCTAGGCCGGAATTTGCCCATTTTGGCGGATTTATTGGATTGGGCTTGTGTAAAGGGAATTGATATGAGACGGGCGAAGAAAAAGAGGGAATGGCGATGAGCGACGTGCTTTGTATATAAGAGTTGTTGCTGATTGTTGGGTCCTAAACGAGGCGGACGGGAAGGAGTGACTGTGGTTAGTTAGTGTGGGAACGACAGGCGTGATTGCATGAGATGTGGCAATGAATTATGAATGCGACAGATTATAAAGGAAGCCCGACATTATATGGAGTAGGCAGATATAGGATTAAAGTACCTTGAAACCGAAGTGGATTCAGAGACAATCCGTGGGGATGAAGAGGTTGGGAACCGAAAGAAGAAGGGACCCCTTACAGAGAGGCAAAACCAGCACCAGGCTGGGATAAAATGAAAGAAATGAGAGAGAGAATCAATGAAGATAAAAGAGTGGATAAGATTGAAGGTTGAAAGAGAGGAGAGAGAGGAGAATGATGGAAAAGGAGGAAAAGTGGCAGATACGCTGTGGAGTCCGGGTCCCCCCTGGAAATCGACGGTCTCGATTCTTGAAATTAAGGAAATTAAGAAATTTCAAGGGAACAAGTTGACTTGGCGGGATTATAATCTTATAAGGTACATGACAATTACCTTGACCGTTTGAATCACTTTATCTCTTTTGAATCATCGCTAAATATAAAACAATGAAAATAGACTTGATCTGGTACAAATCTATAAATATCCAATATCTTAGTCACCTCCGCTTTGTGCACGGCCATGCTATGACTTTTATGACTATAATTCGGGACACCTAAAGTGTCAGAAATATTTCGTAAGTCCCTGTAAGAATTGCCCGGACCATTTTGGTTTCTATACTTATGAAATTTCGAATACTATACTCCGTACATACATACCGAGTCCGCGTTGATCGCATCTGAGCAGCACGTGTTAGACATATGGATGATTATACTGTCTAATCTATACCTACACCAAATCTATAGATGTCTGCCCGTAGTACATAACAGATAATAAGTATACTGTAAGGAGTGTGTTGTTGGTACCACACTCGCGTTCTTTTCCGAATCGGGACAAACCTTAAGAATGAATACCAAATCCAAAGGATCATAACTATCAAATACTACCCTAAAAGTCGCGAGCTTACGACAAATTCTTGCTCAGCCTAGATGAACCATGGATCCTAGATAAAATAGAGTCCATTGCATCAATAACAAATAGGTTTAAGGTAGAAAAGAGGCTTAAAAGTTTATCCAGGGCCCAGGGGACAAACCCTAAGACTCTTAAGAGTTGCTCGTGATCCAAGGCTCATTTTGTCGTTAAGAAGCCACGTCTGCATACCTTGAAACCATATCTACACAGTACTGATGGATTATGTTCCTCGCTCATGATCCCACAGATCTATTAAGACAGCAGTATCGTCCTCAGGTCCTAGAATTACTATGTTTGCTATTATGCCAATTAAAGAAGGATGTAGCCTCTGGTAGCGGACGATATGGTGAGACAATTGACAAATTAGAGTTCTCTTCCGATTAGACACATTAGACGCAATTTGGAGGCCAGCACAATGTTATTAATGCCTTGTAAAGTCTGAAAACAACATTTGAAGAGCAAAAATAGAAGAAAAAAATAAGTGAGGCTGACCCGTCTCGACCAGATAACCTTGCGAACTGGAGTCGCACGCGCTACCAATTGCGCCACAGCCCCAAGTTGGTGAAGATTTGCCCTATATTTGGCACCATGAGAGTCAAGTACGTATCTGACTTTTTCTCACTGAAAAAAAAAAGGAAAAAAGGAGACCATAGACATTCACAATAATGATAAGTTTGCAGTATGCAGTTAATAGTGAATAACAAGAGTAGATGAGTAGATGAGATATACTCCGCAATTATTATAAAAAAATTGGTACTATAGTGAAAAAAAGAAAAAAAAGAAGATGAGGCTGACCCGTCTCGACCAGATAACCTTGCGAACTGGAGTCGCACGCGCTACCAATTGCGCCACAGCCCCAAATTGGTGACATATTTGCCGCGCTGTGGCTTTATGAGCATTGGCT